AGAAATCTACATTTCCTTCTTGGCTATAATCCCAGAAACAACAAAAAATTGCAAATGTGCATTACATTTATCACAGTTTTCACACAAGAATAAGCAGGATAGGAATTTTTAATTTCCCAAACTTGCTTTCATGCAAGTAGGGGGCTTTTATTTTTATAGTGTTCATGGTTCAAAAAAGAATACTAAACAGCTTAGAAGGATATAAACTACACATGGCACCATGGCACCCAGCTGAGGGAGGGCTATGGTCAGTCATGTCTTGGTTGCATGAGCCTTCCTTGCCCCAATACACAGAGAGCCCTCAGACCCACAGGTAACCAATACTCTGGCTGGGGAGAGACTAGTTAGGTGAGCTGGCAAGTGAAATCTGGACACACAGGGCCAGAATCCATACTGGGAATTGGGCACATATTAAAGGGAGTTGAAGTTGAAAGAATACATGGAGTGAAGGAAGATCCTCAAAGATTCATAAGCAAGGCCAAGGTCAGAGAGAGTTGAGAACCATGAACAGAAGATATGAAATAGTAAAAGATACCATAGAGGATGAAGAAGGCTTCTGGCTCAAGGGAAAAATGAAGCCGACTGAAAGAGAACAGCAGAGATGCAACGAGCGTTACGTGTATCTGGTCCCTAGACTTGTGTCAGATCCTCATGGCTTTACAGCTCCAGTTTCCTTGTGGCCTTAAAATAAACACTTTTTAAAACATTCACTTAAGTGAGTTCCTGTTCCTTAATATTAAAAAATGCCTCACTGCCCAACTGGCACGGCTCAATGGTTGAGCATCGGCCTATGAACCAGAAGGTCACAGTTCAATACCTAGTCAGGGCACATGCCCTGGTTGCAGGCTCGATCTCCAGTAGGGGGTGTGCAAGAGGCAGCCGATCAATGATTCTCTGATTCTCTCTCTCCCTCTCCCTTCCTCTCTGAAATCAATAAAAATATATATTTTTTAAATGCCTCAGATATGCTAATATACTAAGATATACTTAAATAGTAAGGGAAACGAGGCAAGGAGAAAAAGGAGTAAAAAAAAAAATAATATAAAAGAAACTGAAGAAGATACAAATGGAAGAATATACCATGCTTGTGGATAAAAAGAATTAACATCATTAAAATGTCCATACTACACAAAGCAATCTCTAAATTCAATGCAATTCCTCTCAAAATACCAATGGCTTATTTCACCGAACTACAACAAATAATCCAAAAATTTACTTGGAACCACAAAAGATCACGAATAGCCACACCAATCTTGAGTAAGAAAAACAAAGTTGGAGATATCACACTACAAGATATCAAACTATATATACTTCAAGGCTACAGAAATCAAAACATTATGGTACTGGCATAAAAACACACACAGAGTAATGGAACACAATAGAAGCTCAAAAATAAGCCCATACAAATACAGTCAATTAGTATATGACAAAGGAAGCAAGAACATACAATCAGATAAAGACAGTCTCTTCAATCAGTGGTGCTGGGAAAATTGGACAGATACATGCAAAAAATGAAATTAGACCACCTTCTAACACCATATACAAGAATAAACGCAAAATGGATTAAAAACTAAATGTAAGACTCGAAAGCATAAAATCCCTAGAAGAAAACATAGGCAGAAAAATCTCTGACATTTCTCTTAGCAATATTTGTTCTGCTATATCTCTTCAGGCAAAGGAACAGCCACAAAAAAATGGGACTACATCAAACTAAAATGTTTTTTGCACAGCAAAGAAAACCATCAATAAATTGAAAAGACAATCTATTGAATGGGAGAAGATATTTGCAAATGATACATCCAATAAGGAGTTAATATCCAAAATTTATAAAGAATTCATGCAACTCAACACCAAAAAAACAATTCAATTAAAAGGTGGTCAGAGGACCTGAATGGGCACTTCTCTAAAGCAGACATGCAGATGGCCAATAAGCATTTGAAAACACCAATCACAGAGAAATGCCTATTAAAACCACAGTGAGATAGCACCTCACACCTGTCAGAATGGCTATCATCAATGTATCTACAAACATCAAGGTTTGGCAAGGATATGGGGGGAAAGGGAACCCTCATGAACTGTTGCTAGAAATGCAGATTGGTGCAGCCACTGTGGAAGAGAGTATAGAGTTTCCACAAAAAATTAAATATGGAACTGCCTTTTGACCCAATGATTCAACTTCTGGGTATATATCCAAAGAAACCTGAAACACTAATTCAAAAAAGTATATGCTCCCTATGGTCATTGCAGCATTATTTACAACTAGAGGCCCGGTGCACAAATTCATGCACAGATGGGGTCCGGCCAGCCCACCTCGATTGGGACGATCGGGCTGGGCTGTCTGAGGGGAGGGGCTGTGGGCAGTTGGCCAGCTGGCCCTGCCCCCTGGTCGAACTCTTGGTTGAACTCCCAGTCAAACTTCCGTTCAAGGGGACAATTTGCATATTAGCCTTTTATTATATAGGACTAGAGGCCTGGTGCACAAATTTTGCACGGGTGGGGTCCGGCCGGCCCACCCCGATGGGGGCTGATCAAGGCCAGGCCGGCCAGGAGGGTGCTGCGGGAGGTCGGCCAACCCCGCCCCCAATGGGGGGACAATCAGGGGCAGGGCCAGCAGTGGGGGGCCACAGGAGGTTGGCTGGCCAACCCTGCTCCCAATCGGGATGGGGGAGCCAATTGGTGGTCATGCTGGCCTGGCGGAGGGGCTGCAGCCAGGGGGAAGGGCCATGGGCGGTTGGCCGGCTGGCCCTGCCCCCAATAGGGATGGGGGAGCCAATCGGGGGCTGGGCTGGCCATGGGGGAAGGGCCATCTCCCCATTGGGACAGTTGGCCAGCCGTAGTGCGTATCATACCAAACAGTTGTTCCAGTCATTCTGGACATTCCAGCATTCCAGTCGCTTGGCTTTTATATAGATAGATAGATAGATAGATAGCTAAGATATGGAAGCAGCTCAAGTACCCATTAATAGACAAGTGGATAAAAATGTAGTACATATATACAACAGAATATTACTTGGCCATAAAAAAAGAATTAAATCTTACCAATTGCCACAGTGTGATTAGACCTAAAGGGTATTATGCTAAATGAAATAAGCCAGATAGATAAAGACAAATACCATGCGATTTTTTATATGTGAAATCTAAAGAACAAAATAAATAAACACACAAAGTTGAAACAGATCCATAAATCAGAGAACAGACTGACAGTTGCCAGAGGGGCAGGGGGGTTTGGCAAAAACATGAATGGATTAAGAAGTACAAATTGGTAGTTACAAAATAGTCATGAGGATATAAAGTATAAAGTAAAGCATAGGGAATATAGTCAATAATACAGTAATAAGTATGAACAGTCCAGGTGGGAACTAGAAATATCAGGGGGAACACTGTAAAATACATGACTGTCTAACCTCTATGCTGCACACCTAAACTAATATATAATAATACTGAATGTTAAGCTTAATTAAAAAATAATAGCCCTAACCGGTTTGGCTCAGTGGATGGAGCATCGGCCTGCGGACTCCAGGGTCCCGAGTTCGATTCCAGTCAAGGGCATGTACCTTGGTTGCGGGCACATACCCAGTAGGGAGTGTGCAGGAGGCAGCTGATCGATGTTTCTCTCTCATCGATGTTTCTAACTCTCTAACCCTCTCCCTTCCTCTCTGTAAACAATCAATAAAATATATTTAAAAATAAATAATAATAATAATAATAAACTGAACATAAAAACAAAGTATGTATATATAAACTGTACAAAAGAATCAGAAAAAAATAAACAGTAAAACCCCCAAAAATTAAGGGGGAAAAGACATGCAGAGCCAATTTACAAAAGAAACTAATGAGGTTTTAAAGGAAAACAACAAAAATCAACTTCACCAATGACGTAAACAGGGAAAGAAAGACAAAAATTAGATGTTTTACCCCTGTTAAATCCGTTCTTTTTTTTTTTTACTAGCACCCAACTGTGGCAAAAATGTCCTAAAAGGGTCACTCAACACTCTGCTAATAAAAGTGTTACCTAGAACTTTTCAGTAGAGCAGTTTAGTAACAGGAATCAAGAGCCTTAAAAATAAAGGGTAAAGGTGTCAACTTTCCTAGTTTTGACTTCTGGGTGGTAAACACACAATGCAAAAACTGATAATGTATTATAAAATTGCACATTTGAAACCTATATAATTTTATTAACTAATGTCAGCCCAACAAATTTAATTTTAAAAAAATATCCACACCATCTCACCCACTGACTCTAGTTCAGGACACTATCTGAAAGAAATTGTCTGAACTATGGATTAAAATGTATTGCCAAATATATCCATCAAAGGATATTTACAGTAGCAAAATTCTTTAAAATAAGTTCTACATTAAGCAATAGGAAAAGGGTTAAGTAAATTAGAATATAACATAAAATGCAGTATGCAGTCACTAAGTAATTGAAGTGGGAAGTGTTATGCAATAAATGTTAAGAGAGTAAGGTTTATAAAATAAACAGCATTCAGGATGACTGTGACTAGGTTTAAAAAAATGTATAAATCCCAGTATAAAAGTACTAATGACAAACTTACTGATTGTTTGAAAATGAATATTAACAGAGCCTGTGAACACCTGCTCCAAGTCTTGAGTTTACCTACGAGATCTCCATGCCATCCGTCACCACCAGCCCCACCGTTCCTCACACGGTGTATCAAGCCCAGTTACCTGCCTCACGCCCTGAGCACTCTGAGCGTTTCTTAGGTTATGGCATCATCCCCAGTTGCACTATTTAAATATTTGCCACTTTATATTTACAAATTCTCCCACGTCATTTCATTCATGTAAAAAAAATATTGACTCTATCTACTAAAGTCACCTCAAAACTGAAATCTAAATTGAACACGGAAGTTAACCAAGAAGCAGTTTCTGTTTCCTTACCCATTCAAGTAAAAAATACTACGGAGAAAACATCCATGTATCTTTCTTTCCAAACCCGACTCCCAGCAGGCTTCAGACAACATGCAGATGCCACATACCTGTTTTGTGTGCTAGGACCACCGGTGTCACTCTGTCAGCTCACTTTCATGTCAAAGTACATTCAAGTCTAATCATTAGCTGCCACCAAAAATACACACCCATCTGTGTGTTGCAGTGCTCAGCCACTACCAAGGTCACACCTGACTCCAGCTCTGCCCTATTCCCCACTGATTCCACCTTCCTGTTGGCAACTTTCCACCTCATTAGCTGAGCAGAGCACAATCAGGGGGAGGAGGCTGTGAGCTGGGCTGGCAACATGGAGAAACCAGAGAGTAGAATGACCACAACTGTGGCAGAGGGCTGGCGGAGAGGCATCCGTAAGTCCGTGGTTCTCAGCTTGGGTGATTTTGCTGCCCAGGGGACTTTTGGCTATGTCTTGGGGCTATCTTTGGTTGGCATAACTGGGGGGGAGGTGCTACTGGCACTAGTAGGAAGAGACCAGGGATGCTACCAAACATACTACAATGCACAGGACAGCCCCACAGCAAAGAATTATCCATTACCAAATGTCAGCAGTGCTAAGGTTGAGAAGCCTGCCATCAACTGATTTATCCCCTGGTTCACTGGAGTCTAATCCCAACTCATCAGGAACAGGGCACCCAGTGGGTAAAGGAGGCCTGAGATCGTTTAGGAAATACACACACACACACACACACACACACACACACACACACAAACTGGGGGGGGGGGGGAGAAGCATTATAATTTAATAAAAGTAATAAGAATACCTTTTCCCTCAAGGGTTTGCACCCCACATATATTTCTTCAAAGACTGCTTCACAGCAGACCCTATACGAAGATAATATTATCAAAACTGCCCAGACTGGTAAACATCTCCAGAGCAGTTGGCAATGCACCCACACAGTCAATGACACATTCAGTTGCATATCTCTACAAGACCTAAGAACCCAAACTCACAGTTCCCAGCTTTGCTTAAAAGTGGCAAGCATTGAAAGATCACTCAAAACAATGAAAATAACAGTGTTGCTTTTCCCAGATAAATCATCAAAAACTAAATAAGACTTAAGAGCAACATTTTCAAAACTCAGAACAGTGTATTTAGTCTGCACTTCAAAAAAATTACAGATACAAAAAGAATTTAATATATGAATTATCATCATTATAATTCATTTAAAGTTAGTAACCACAATGCAATATGGTTTTTTTCTTGATTACTTTAATAACTTTATCATGTCATGATTTCCACCCATGGGAGGCCAGAAGGTTAGAGAAGATATCCAGCACCCATCCCTAGCTAAGGCTTAAATAATTTGGACCTGACTCTGAAGCATCATTGCCAGTATGACCTTGGCCTTTGTCCTTTCAGTGTTAGGAAGCATACAGCACAGAAATGGTGGCCCATTTCTGTGTTGGACAGTAGCAAGTATTAGAAATGTGTTCATTATGCTAAGTCAATACATTATTGTTTATTTCGCCATATATTAGAAGCAAGACAACTCTAATTATTCTCAATCTTACCCTCCACACACCAAGCCTTTTTCTTCCCTGGGTTGTAAAATATGCTCTCCTCATGAATTGTGTCTTAGCTCAATTATGATTCATAAAAGAACTAAAATGAATCTTAGAGATGAACCACTTCAAACCCAACCTCAATTTTACAAATGAGCTAAGTCAGGCAGAGAAAGAGGAAGCTAGGCTGCTTGTTAGAGGTCAAGCAGCTACTCATAAAGAAAGTAGGGAGTGAAACTCAGGTTTCCTAACTCTTAAGTCTAATACCCTCAGAACTATACCAAGTTATATAAGATGCTGCATAAGTAACAGAATTGACATAATTTTTTAAGTCTTATGATAAAACAGACACATATTTTCAGTAACATATTAGAAACGAAACTCACATGATCACAACCACTCTATGAAACAGTGTAATTGTTACCATCCCCACTGTCTGGATGAAGAATCCCAGGCCTGGGGTCACACAGTAAGCGTTGAAGCTGGCTCCAAAGCCTATATCCTTAATCACTATGCCACCTGGATAAGTACTAGAACATTCCTAACATTATCACAACCAAATTAACAAACTTAAGATTCCCAGTAGTTCCTCAAAATTTTAGTGCTTTGATATAATATAAAAGTTAGCCTTTCTACAAAAAAAAGTAAAGTTTTAAGAAGTCAAGATAAATTTAAAGATTTCCAGTATGTGCCCTCCTAGCATAAAATAAAGTCATTGTAACTTAAAAACCAAGTTATAGTATTAAAGTATCACCTTCCACATCAACTACCCTGAATTCAATCTAATCCTTCTGGGAGTAGCAGAGAAGGAATTCATTTATGGCCTGGAGCTTCTTGAAAAACATTAGCCAAATAGTTCCATGGTGTCAATCACTTCCCAAAGGCTTTTCCCACATAAGATTGTGTGCCATGAACAAAATACCACACCAAGCAATAATACACACCTTCAGAATAATAAAGTAGGGATTCCAAGACGGCTGCAGAACATGTGGAAGCTACACTTACCTGCGCCCACCACCAAATCAGATTTACAGCTGAATTATAGAGCAATCAACATATATGCACCCAACATAGGAGAACCTAAGTATATTTTAAAAATCTATAAAAAAATTAAAGACGATCTCAACAGCAATACAGACACAGTAGGGAGTTTTAATACCCCATTGACATCAATGGATAGATATTCCAGACAATAAATCAACAAGGCAGCAGTGACCTTAAATGACACAGTGGATGGGATGGATTTAATTGATATTTACAGAGCACTTCATCCCAAAGCAAAAGACTACATTCTTCTCAAGTGCACATAGAACATTCTCAAAGACAGACCACATGTTAGGACACAAACTAAGTCTTAAGAAATTCAAGAAGACTGTAATCATATCAAGCATCTTCTCTAACCACAATTGTATGAAACTATAAATCAATTACAATTTAAAAAAATAAATTATTCAAACATGTGGAGGCTCAAAAACATGCTATTAAACAATGAATGGGTTAACAATGAGGGGGAAAAAAGTAAAAATCAAATTACCTGGAAACAAATGAAAATGAACACACAGTGACCCAAAATATATAGGACACAGCTAAAGCAGTCCTGATACGGAAGTTCATAGCATTACAGCCCTACTTCAAGAAGCAAGAAAAATTTCAAGTATACAATCTAACCCTACATCTAAAAGAACTAGAAAAAGAAAAACAAACAAAGCCCAGACTAAGTAGAAGGAAAGATATAATTAAGATGAGAAAATGACAGAGAAACTAAAAATAAAAATAAAAACCATACAATATGAAAGATCAATGAAACCTTGAGCCAGTTCTTTAAAAAGACAAACAAGATTGACAAACCTTTAACCAGATTCATCAAAAAAAGAGAGAGGACCCAATTAAATAAAGGCAGAAATGAAAGAGGAGTAACAGCTGATACCACAGAAATACAAATGAGTGTAAGAAAATACTATGAACAACTGTATGTCAATAAATCGGAAAATGTGGGTGAAATGGATAAATTCATAGATACATACAATCTTCCAAAACTGAAGCAGGAAGAATTAGAAAATCTAAATAGAGTAATCACAAATGATGAAATAGAAGCAGTAATTTAAAAAAAAAAAAAAAACAGAAAAAAAACAACAATTCCCAGTAAACAAAAGTCCTGGACTGGATGGCTTCACATTTGTGAACTTTATCAATCATTCAAAAAAGAACTAACACCTATCCTTCTGAAACTAGTCCAAAAAATTCAAGAGAAGGGAAGACTTCAAAACTCTTTTCACAAGGCCAGCATTATCCTAATTCCAAAACCAGATAAAGAAAGACACTACAAAAAAAAAAAAAAAATCATAGGCCAATATCCATAATGAACATATACATCCTAAAATCCTCAACAAAATATTAGCAAACTGGATGCAGCAATACATTAAAAAGATCATACACCATAATCAGGTGGGATTTATTCCAGGGATACAAGGTTGGTACAATACTTACAAATCAATAAATGTGATACATCATATAAACAAAATGAAAGATAAAAAAATCACATGATCCTATCAATAAATGCAGAAAAAAAGCACTTGACAAAATCCAGCACCCATTCTATATATATAAAAGCCCAAACGACCAGTCGAACAGCCGAACAGCTGACTGGCTAGTAGCTATGATGCACACTGACCTCCAGGGGGCAGACGCTCAACACAGAAGCAGAAACCACAGGCATGGAAACATGGAACAGACTGATAAATCTCAGAGGAAAGGGGGGAGGGAGGAAGGTGGGAAGAGATTAACTGGTGGAGGCCCTAGGTCTGGCCTGCGCCCTCTCACAATCTGGGAACCCTCAGGGGATGTCAGAGGCCCAGTGCATGGATTCATGCACTGGTGGGGTCCCTCAGCCTGGCCTGCAGGGATCAGGCTGAAACCGCTCTCCAACATCCACTGAGGATCCCGGATTGTGAGAGCGTACAGGCCAGGCCAAGGGACCCCACCGGTGCATGAGTCCATGCACCAGGCCTCTAGTCTAATATCTAATATCCTATCTAATAATAGACAAACATGGTAATTAACCATACCTCCGACACGCTTCCCATTGGCTAATCAGGGCGATATGCAAATTAACTTCCAACCAAGATGGCGGCCGGCAGCCAGGCAGCTGAAGCGAACAGGAGGCTTGCTTGTTCCAGTGAAGGAGGAAGTCAAGGTTCCCCGCATGTCACTGCTGGGCTCTGAGCTTGCACTCTAAGAAACAATGTTGCAATTATAGAACCTAAACAAACCCCATGCTTTCAGCCAGCCAGCTGAGCTGGAGTTGCAACAGTGTTTCAATTATAGAAGCCAAACAAACCCAGGTTCCTGCTTTCAGCAGCCGAGGTCTCAGAGCTGGAGCCGAGCCTCAGAGCTAAAGCTGGCTCTCAGTTCCAGTGACAGCCATAGAAGGTAAATAAATCCCAGAATAAAAAAAAAAAGAAAAAAGGAGAGGTTGGAAGCTTCAGTCACCTGCCAGCCTGAAAACGGCCCTCAGCCCCTCACCCAGACTGGCCAGGCACCCCAGTGGGTACCCCCACCCTGAAGGGGGTGTAACCAGCTGCAAACAGCCATCATCCCCTCATCCAGGCTGGCCAGGCACCCAAGCGGGACCTCCACCCTGATCCAGAACACCCTTCAGGGCAAACCAGCTGGCCCCCACCCATGCACCAGGCCTCTATCCTATATAGTAAAAGGGTAATATGCCTCCCAGCACCGGGATCAGTGGAGCCGCAAGGCTTCCCGAACCCGGGATCAGAGGAGCCATAAGGCCTCACACCCCGGGATCAGCAGAGCCGCAACGCCTCCCGGCACTGGGATTAGTGGAGCCACACCCTGAAGGGGGTGTGACCAGCTGCAAACAGCCATCATCCCCTCATCCAGGCTGGCCAGGCACCCCAGTGGGGACCCCCACCCTGAAGGGGGTGTGACCAGCTGCAAACAGCCATCATCCCCTCATCCAGGCTGGCTAGGCA